CTGCCGGCGGTGGCCGCGGCGGGGCGGGTCCTGCCTGCGACGGCCATGCAGAGCCTGCTGCAGCGGGCAGAGGCATCGCAGGTCTGCGCCTGGAGCGCAGCAATGCAGTGCCAGCCTGTCCCTCCAGCAGATGAGACCAGCCTGCCTTTGGCATCTTCCCATGCCAGCAACCTGGCAGGGGGAGGCAGCCCCGCAGCGCCCCCGTCCGCAGCACAGTACATTTCCCAGGGGTGTCTTTTGCTGCCTATTACCACCTGGGGAAGCCTGGGCACCTGGCTGGAAAGGGGGGCAGTCCCGGGGGTGCCGGGATGTGGGGAGCCCTGGAGTACGGGTGCCATCTCTGGGGCCTGGTGGTCTGGGAAGGGCCGGCCCCGGGGGTTCTCTGGGCAGTGGTGTGCAGCCGCGGTCCCTGGGGCATCCTGGGCTGGGGGGCTGGAGAGGGCAGCCCCAGGGCAGGGGCCTGGGTGGGGAGCGATGCCCTCTTGGAGCCGACCCCCACGGTCCTGCCTTGCTCTCCAGGGAATGGAAGAGGCGCGAGTGGAAGGAGTGGAGGCTGGACGGGGGGGAGCAGCTGCTCGCCCTGCGCCACTGGCTGGACGCCCTGGAGAAGAGGCTTCCGGCCCTGCCCGACGGAGCCCCTGCGCTGGAGGTGAGCGCGGGGGTGCGAGGGGTGGGGGCTGGCCCTCCTGCTGCTGAGATGCACCAGGCAAAGCTCAGGGCGTCTGTGCCAGGCCAGCGGCAGAGCATGGGTGTCCCCCCGGGGCTGCGTGACACAGGCTCTGGCACCTCAGGGCTCCCTGCGCCGTGTCCCGCAGCTCGAGGGCCCGGCCTGCCCCCCACACGGTGCATCCTGCCCCGCTCCACGTCTTGCTCGGTGACCGTGTGCCGCAGGCCTGGCCCTTGGAGCGCAGCATGCGGGGTTAGCGGGTCCATGCCCGCTCCTCTGGGCCGAGTGCGAGCCCAGCTGCCCGGTGCTGCCCCGCGGCCCCTCCCCGCCGGCCTGCCAGCGCGTCCCTCCCTCGCGGCCTTTGTCCTGGCTGGGCCAGCGCGCGGGCTTCGCGCACACATGACGGCACAAACTGAAAGGCCCATTCATGCCGGCCCCGGCACAGACAAAGCTGAGGCCGCGGCACAACCCAGCCGGCTCACAGGATCTGAGGCTGTGGGCTCCTGCCGCCTGCACGCAGCCCGCTGGGGGGGAGCCCTGCCACCCGCCCCCCGGGGGCCGCACCGGGCCAGGCCCTGGCCAGGCAGCAGAGGCCCCAGATGACCCCCAGGAGCCTCCTGCCTGGGCCGGGGGAGGCAGGGCAGGGCAGGGCAGGGCAGGCACGGCCCC